CAACAAATACAATCATGGCAATATATAGTTGGACTGTTATATTCTAGATGTTATTTGAAGTCTCATCATCCATTGGCTAAAATTAGACCCACAGGTGGCAACTGACAATAAATAAAATCATTGCATTATATAGCTAATACATTATAAGAATATATGTTTTCAATTATCCACACATCCAACTGTGTTTTACCCCAAGTAAGAGCAGCTAAACAAACAATCTATCAGAAGCTTGGGTATCTACAGCAAGCCGGACGATCGTGGCGTTCCTTTAATTAAACCCCTTACGTTGTGAATTATTCAGGTAAGGTCTAGTGCATGCATACTAATATTTATCTTACTTATAACTTGGATAATTAGTATGTTTTTAGCAAAAAAAAAAAACTTGGATTAGTATGTTTATCCAAAAACAAAAAACGGATTGATAAAGCAAAAAAAAAACTTTACAACGTACTCATTTTTTACACGTTAGTTAAATATATTATTACAAACTTTATAACTTTATCATCTACTATACCGCTCAAAGTTATGAGTTTAAGATCACTGAAATGTTTCTTTTCTGTTTAAAGCTAAATACCTATTAAAAATGTGTAATGTTCTTTTATTTTCAGTATCTCTTTTTATTTTACTATTCTGATATTGTAACTTTACTATTTCCAAAATTTCCAAACATATCTATTTTAAACATATATGATTGAAATTTAAACACACAAAGAAATAACAAAAACAATCTGGAACCTCTGAAACAACTGGATCTCTATAACTAGACTAGTCTGCTGGTTTGTCTAAATGGAATCTAGATTTTATTTGAAAGTCCCATCATCCACCGGCTAAATACTATCCAGACCAAAGTATGTCCTCATCTATGGGAAAATACTGACTTATTATAAATATAGAATGGCTAACACAAAAACGAATGTAACTTCTTCTTTTTTGTTAGCAACAATAAAAAAAATGAGCTGGACGGTAATGCGATCTACATATATTCTTTGTTTGTACTGACAACATAAATCTTAATTTTGAAAACGAAATAAAATACTGTTGATTAAACATAGGATACCTTTAGTAGTTAAGCTTAGAAAAGCGTGGATAGGCATTATATAAACTAGTAATCTAATAATTAAGAGAACCAGATAATCTCATATGTGGTTTTGTATATATTATCAAGTATCATGGTGTAAGAGTTACAGAGCTAAAAATATACCACGAAACAGCAATGCATCTGTTAGACAATAATTTAACTAAAAACAATGTATTAAAAAGGCAATTCAATAAAAAACAGCGTAGGTATAAATAAATTTCACTATGTGTAGATACAAAAACAAAAGAACTGTATTCGTTTTATTTCATGTAAAGAATAAGCTGGTTTTGTTTACAGAAACGAAAAATTTTATTTTAATGCCTTCACTAAAACAAACGAGAATTTTATTGGGCCCATTATAAATCTATTTTTCTTGAAGATTTCCAGTTTTTCTGTCTAATTTTTTAGTAGAAAGAAATCCAAGACCTTGTGGCTTGTGGTTCCTACTAAACTTGGCACTTTCTATATTATAGTATTCAACATCCACTATTATGTGGAATTGTAGATAGGTGCATCTAAAAAGAATATTCCGTACTTTAATTTTTCTAAAATCTACAAAGTCCATGTTCTCCCGGCACAACCCAACATACCATCAACCTCAAAGCCAGTCAATGGATAGAATCAAACATCATTTTAACTATATACTGCAACTAATCAAGTCAATAAAGTATGTTTGTCTACGAGTAAAACTGTAAAATATAATGATCTATTATCTTTTTAATTATATGAAACCCTAATCTCGGTGTTATAATTGTACCACTATGTAAAAAAGGCTTGTTTTTCCTTTTCTGTTTCTATGTCGATATTGGATAGCTGGTTTTGTCTACTTATAGTTTTATGCGTAAATAAAGAGACTAAAATGATGTGTTACATCATTTGCACGTAACTGCACTTATTTTCCAATTAACTCACATTTCCTCTTTTGTCTATCTTTCGATTGGGTCCATTCACACTCATACTCACATATTACAGGCTGAGCATTATAGTATGGTTTGTACGTGTCTAGCGGAATAAACAATGTGACATGTGTTGAATAAACATACTAATTGTGATTGGTGTGGCCTTTGCTAGTTAATGCAAGTGTTTCTGTCAAAATCTATATACTAATAATAATACTATAGTTTTATGAACTCATTTTTATCACTTAAATTATTGAAATTATTAATAAACTATTTGGATTATATATTTTCCCAAGTTCTGATTCTAAGAGCTTTTTTGTACCATACGTCGCCTCTAAACAAAACAACCCAACATTTACATGACATCTAAAAGCAAGTAATATGTTTAAAGAGAACTCATTACAAATGTAATTGATGGGTTTACGTATATACTCATGTAATTTGTGAAATGTTCATGTAATATGTCCCTCAAATCAACAATTTATTTATTTACTATAGTCGAGACGCATATACTCATGTAAAATTATGGTAGTCTTAATTATTTTTTGATGAATGTGACCTTTAGATCTCTTTTTACATTTATATTATGCCTGTTTGTTTTTTGCTACGTGGATATAATAGAGGGTTTTATTAAACAGGGAATAAATTATCACACTGAGAATTAGCAATTTGGTGTGAGTCACTGTCGTCCCCCATCCTCAGTTTGGCGGGCTCGAGGACATGTTTTCGAATAATCGGGCAGAGTTAACAAAAAATCCGTCACTGAAACTAACAGAGTTAACGTTGACTGTGTGCTTAGCTGGTAAACACATCGCTAGCTGAGAGCCAGCTGGCGTGATCAGCGTTTGCATTTATCTCCGAATTTTTTGCCGACTTCTTTTAAGATCTTTCTATTTTCCTACTATTATTTTTCTCTGTTCGTAAATATTTGTTATTTATATTTTTAGAGCCTTCACACGTGAAAAAACTATTCTAAATTTGAGTTATTTTTTTAAAAAAGTTATTTGAGAGTGGACAGGTTTAGTCTAGAATAATATGAATCACATGTGAATTGCTAATTCCTCACGTAGTTAGGAGGTGAAAATCTCTAACTACCATGTAGAGCAACCGGACTTATCTATCACCGGTGGTTGATTTCCAAAGGTTTAGTCGGTTAAGTCTCGATCCGGCAGATATCCTTGATTAATAATAATAAAAAAAACTAGAATAATATGCATGTATATGCTTGGTGCAATGTATGTAAATGTGTAATTGGTGGTTCCGTAGGTCCGAACAGTACGGAGCATGTGGAAATGCGCGATGGTCTACAAAATTTAAAATGAAATAGGAGTACTAGAAAGTAGTTATGAGTATTAACTAGTTTTGTTTTGATGAATTAAGACAATTAAATAGTAATCCTAAAAGAGAAAAGAGAA